CTTTGGTCACATCCCGCCTCGACTACTGCAACGCTCTCTACGTGGGGCTGCCCTTGAAGACGGCCCGGAAGCTCCAGCTAGTCCAGCGCGCGGCAGCCATGTTGTTAACCGGAGCGGGACGCAGGGAGCGCACAACGCCCTTGCTGTCCCAGCTCCACTGGCTGCCGATCAGCTACCGGGCCCAATTCAAGGTGCTGGTGCTAACCTACAAAGCCCTAAACGGTTCCGGCCCAAAATACCTTGAGTACCGCATCTCGGCCTACGAGCCCACGAGGACCTTGAGATCATCCGGGGAGGCCCTTCTCTCGGTCCCGCCTGCCTCACAGGCACGCCTGGCGGGGACTAGAGAGCGGGCCTTCTCGGTGGTGGCCCCCCGGCTGTGGAACGCCCTCCCTGCCGAAATTAGACAGGCGCCTTCCCTCATGGCCTTTCGCAAAGGCCTGAAAACTTGGCTCTTTGAAAAGGCCTTCAATTAAGTGCTATGCTTTGGAATGACCACCGGAATGGACTATGACTATGAGACCGATTATGACCCAAACAAGACGAAGCGGATTTTTAGTTTAAGTAGCTGTGTGTTAGTAAGATGTTGTGTTATAGACCTGATTATTGTAACTGTTGTCTTTATGTTCTATGTTCTGTACACCGCCACGAGTCGCCTTCGGGCTGAGAGTGGCGGTTAACAAGTGCAAATAATAAAATAAGGTGGTCAGTCATCATATTAAAACAAGTATACCTCATCTTCCATCCACAATCCTAGGGTGCTGTCTCATTCATCGAAAGCCTGTCTCCACAACCACGTCTTCACCCGTTTCCTGAATGTCAGGATAGATGGGGCGGTTCTGACCTCCAGTGGGAGAGAGTTCCAGAGTCGCGGGGCTACCACCGAGAAGGCCCTGTCCCTTGTCCCCACCAGACGCGCCTGTGCAGCTGGTGGGACCGAGAGCAGGGCCTCTCCAGACGATCTTAATAATCTTGATAGTTCGTAAGGGAGAATACGTTCGGAGTTCAACTTTCAAAGAAGCCTCAGCATTGATTCATTCCATAAGAACCGTTCCAGTGATTTTTAACATCTTTTCACCTCAGTCATTTAAAGGGAGCTAAAGGGAGGGCTGGTGAATAAGGAGTTTTACCTCAGGGACAACATCAATATTATTTCCCAAATTTCCTTGGGTGGTGGCAGCAACTCTACCAAGATACATACACGTTACCTCAACATACATCTAAACGCTACGTGCCAGAATCGTGTTGTTGTCCAGTTGGGGGATTAGTAATCAAGATCCTTTACACCAGTGTTTCTCAATCTTCCAAATGCCGCGACCCCTTAACACAGTTCCTCATGTTGTGCTGACCCCCAACCATAAAATTATTTCTGTTACTGCTTCATAACTGCAATTTTGCTACTGTTATGAATCGCCATGTAAATATCCAATATGCAGGATGCATTTTCAATCACTGTACCATTTTTGGCACAGATATCTAATATGCCCAAATTTTAATACTGGGGGGGTGGGGGGGGGGGTTGGGAGGAAGCGATTTTGTCATTTGGGAGTTGTAGTGTTGCTGGGATTTATAGTTCAGCTACAATCAAAGAGCATTCTGAACTCCACCAACAATGGAAGTGAACCAGTCTTGGCACAGAGAATTCCCACGACCAAGAGAAAATACTGGAAGGGTTTGGTGGGCATTGACCTTGAGTTTTGGAGTTGTAGTTCACCTACATCCAGAGAGCACTGTGGAGTCAAACAATGATAGATCTGGACCAAACTTGGCACGAATAATAATATGCCCAAATGTGAACACTGGTGGAATTTGGGGGAAATAGATTTGTCATTTGGGAGTTGTAGTTGCTGGGATTTATAGTTCACCTACAAAAAACATTCTGAATCCTACTAACGGTAGAATTGAGCCAAACTTCCTGCACAGAATCCCCATGACCAACAGAAAATGTTTTCTGATAGTCTTTGGTGACCCCTCTGACACCCCCTTGCGACCCCCTCAGGGGTCCCGACCCCCAGGTTGAGAAACACTGCTTTACACTGATTCTTTAAAGGAAGCAGGCTTCCATGCAACATATAATTGTCCTTCTTTAGAGGTCCCTTTCTAATCTATGATACTATATCTGTCATATACATGTATGTGTCTGTGTGAGTCATATACAGGGCTCCCTCACTTATCCATTCCAGGACCGCCCGTAATATGTGAAAATCCATGAAGTAGGGACGCTCCACCCACTTGGCAGCAGCCTTGTTCTCTTCACCAAGTCTGCTGCTCCCCGCCTCGGAGTTCCCATGGGCGCCGTTGATGGCACTGCCAGGCTGGGCTGAGAAGAGGATGAGGCTGCTGCCGAGTGGGCGGAGACAAAGTAAGGACCAGTGCCTGCTTCCCCCCCCCCCGCGTCTCCTCTCCCCGCTTATTGCAGACCTGCGAAACGGCGAGTCCGCAATAAGTGAAACACGATATAGCGAGGGAACATTGTATATCCATCTATGGCTGGATGGCTCTTTGTCAGGAGGGCTTTATGTATTCCAGCAGCTGCAACTCCCAAATGTCAAGGTCTGTTTTCCCCAATCTCCACCAGTGTTCACATTTGGGTGTATTGAGTATTCGTGCCAAGTTTGGTCCAGATCCACTCCATCATTGGTGGAGTTCAGAATGCTCTTGGATTCTAGGTTTAGTATAAATCCCAGGAACTACAACTCCCAAAAGACAAAATCATTTTTAAAGGGATGGTCACTCCTTGAGTTAGTAGGTGTCTTGTGACCAAATTTGACAGCAATTTGTCCAGCAGATTTTGAGTTATTATGTCACTCAAAACAGATAGATAGATAGATAGACAGACAGACTAAACCTTACATGGGGTTGGTTTACCCTCCGGTATCCTAGTTAAACTGAATGATCATGTCACAAAAGGATGAATGTCTTAAAAGTTTGGAAAACTCTGTCTTAGAGTGTCTCTGGGGTCAGATACCACCATTCTCTCCAATGTGAATTCTGTGTCTATGTAGAGTTCAATTCTCCGAGAAGCTCTTTTCACACGCTCTGGGTTTCTAGGGTTTATCCCCAGTGTGGGTTCATTGATGTGAACATAGACCTGAACTGCAGCTGAAGCTCTGTCCGCACGCTAAGCATGTATAGGATTTCTCCACAATATCAACAGTAATAAGGGTGCTTTGTCCATACTCTAGGCATGTCTAGGGTTTCTACCCAGTATGAATCCTTTGATGTCTATGTAGATTTCCAGTCTCAGAGAAGCTCTGACCACACTCCAGGCATGTATAGCCCAATGTATTTGTACTTCAATTGTTTTCTCAGCGTCTATGTCTTAATGGTTTATTATGTTATGTGTATAATTATGTTTATTTGTTTACTCAGATTTTATTTTGATGTTATTTTTTCTTTTGTTATAAGTGTGTGTTATTATTTTGTATTATTTTAAAGATCTTAGTATTCACATTGGGCATTAAATGTTTGATTTTTTTGTGTGTGTGTAAACCGCCCTGAGTCCCCTTGGGGAGAGATGGTGGTCTATAAATAAACTTTTATTATATTATTATATTATATATCACTCCGAGCGAAAATCTTTCCACACTGCAGGAATTTATAGGGTTTCTCCCCTGTGTGAATTCTTTGATGTGTACGTAGATATCCACTCCAAGCGAAGCTCATTCCACACTCCAGGCATTTAAAGGGTTTCTCCCCAGTGTGAATCCTTTGATGTGAACGTAGACTTCCATTCTCAGTGAAACTCTTTCCACACTCCAGGCATTTAAAGGGTTTCTCCCCAGTGTGAGTCCTTTGATGTGAACGCAGACTTCTATTCTCAGTGAAACTCTTTCCACACTCCAGGCATTTAAAGGGTTTCTCCCCAGTGTGAATCCTTTGATGTGAACGCAGACTTCTATTCTCAGTGAAACTCTTTCCACACTCCAGGCATTTAAAGGGTTTCTCCCCAGTGTGAGTCTTTTGATGTCTACGTAGATGTAAACTCCAAGCAAAACTCTTTCCACATTCCAGGCATTTAAAGGGTTTCTCCCCAGTGTGAGTCCTTTGATGTGAATGTAGTCTTCCATTCCGAGAGAAGCTCTTTCCACACTCCAAGCATTTAAAGGGTTTCTCCCCAGTGTGAGTCCTTTGATGTCTACGTAGATCTGAACTGTGAGTGAAGTTCTGTCCACACTCCAGGCATTTAAAGGGTTTCTCCCCAGTGTGAGTCTTTTGATGTGAACGTAGGTTATTCCTCCAAGGAAAACTCTTCCCACACTCCAGGCATGTATAGGGTTTCTCCCCAGTGTGAGTCCTCTGATGTAAACGTAGAAGTGAACTCTGAGCGAAACTCTTTCCACACTCCAGGCATTTATAGGGTTCTTCTCCAGTGTGAGTCCTCTGATGTGAACGTAGACTTCCATGCTCAGTGAAGCTCTTTCCACACTCCAGGCATTTATAGGGTTTCTCCCCAGTGTGAGTCTTCTGATGTCTACGTAGATGTGAACTCCAAGCGAAACTCTTTCCACACTCCAGGCATGTATAGGGTTTCTCCCCAGTGTGAGTCCTTTGATGTCTACGTAGACTTGAACTGTGAGTGAAACTCTGTCCACATTCTAGGCATTTACATGGTTTCTCCCCAGTGTGAGTCTGCTGATGTGAACGTAGATGTGAATTCTCAGAGCAACTCTGTCCACACTCCAGGCATTTATAGGGTTCTTCTCCAGTGTGAGTCCTCTGATGTGAACGTAGATGTCCATTCTGAGTGAAGCTCTGTCCACACTTCAGGCATTTATAGGGTTTCTCCCCAGTGTGAGTCCTTTCATGTGTACGTAGACCTCCACTCTTAGCAAAACTCTTTCCACACTCCAGGCATGTATAGGGTTTCTCCCCAGTGTGAGTCCTTTGATGTGAACGTAGACTTGAATTCTGAGCGAAACTCTTTCCACACTCTAGGCATTTATAGGGTTTCTCCCCAGTGTGAGTCCTCTGATGTGAACGTAGATTCCACTCTGAGTGAAGCTCTGTCCACACTCTAGGCATTTATAGGGTTTCTCCCCAGTGTGAGTCCTCTGATGTAAACGTAGATTTGAACTCTGAGCGAAACTCTTTCCACACTCCAGGCATTTATAGGGTTCTTCTCCAGTGTGAGTCCTCTGATGTGAACGTAGTTCCATTGTGAGTGAAGCTCATTCCACACTCCAGGCATGTATAGGGTTTTTCCCCAGTGTGAGTCCTTTGATGTGAATGTAGACTTGAATTCTGAGCGAAACTCTTTCCACACTCTAGGCATTTATAGGGTTCTTCTCCAGTGTGAGTCCTCTGATGTGAACGTAAACTTCCATTCTGAGTGAAGCTCTGTCCACACTCCAGGCATTTATAGGGTTTTTCCCCAGTGTGAGTCCTCTGATGTAAACGTAGATTTGAACTCTGAGCGAAACTCTTTCCACACTCCAGGCATTTATAGGGTTCTTCTCCAGTGTGAGTCCTCTGATGTGAACGTAAAGTTCCATTGTGAGTGAAGCTCATTCCACACTCCAGGCATGTATAGGGTTTCTCCCCAGTGTGAGTCCTCTGATGTGAACGTATACTTGAATTCTGAGTGAAGCTCTGTCCACACTCCAGGCATTTATAGGGTTTCTCCCCAGTGTGAGTCTTTTGATGTGAACGTAGATTTCCACTCCAAGCAAAACTCTTTCCACACTCCAGGCATGTATAGGGTTTCTCCGCCATAGCAACAGTAATAAGGGTGTTTATTGCAATACAGATACTTGACTCCTTTTTTCTTTCTTATCTGCGAGGTCAAGAATTCTGCAAGATCATCACCTTGAGAAGATTGCTTCTTCCTATATCATTGGTTTCTTTACTGCATTCAAGAGGTGGCTCCATAGAATCCTCATTTACTGGTTAAGAAAGAAGTGAAAGATTACTATTATTGTTGTTGTTGTTCTTGTTGTTGTTGTTATATTGATTTATAGCCTGCTTTATCTCCCTCATGGATACTCAAAGCAGCTGAACATAAAACATCCGCATACAATTTAAAACATAAAAATATGCAGACATTAAAACAGAATTAAGTATAAACGGTATCTAAGAATTCTCAGATAAAAACCATTAAAACATACTCAAGGTTAGAAACCACAACACCCCCTGAATTGATCTTTACAATCTTCTTCTTTAAAAGCCTGCCCAAATAAAAAGGTTTTAGCCTTCTGCTGTAAGGAAAACAGCAAGGAAAGGGGCCATTTTGGCTTCCTTGAGGAGGGAGTTCCAGAGTCAAGGGGCAGACACCGAGAAGGCCCTCTCTCTCACTCCCACCAATCAAGTTTGAGATGAAAGTGGGACCAAGGGAAGCCCCTCTCTTGAAGATCTCAGTGACCAGGCACGTCCGTATAAGGCAGTGTTTCTCAACCTAGCGGGCAGGACCATTGGGGGGCAGCAAGAGGGCTTTCAGATGGGCCACCAAAGACCATAATAAAACATATATTTCTAATGGGCTTAGGAACTCTTTTGAAGATCTCTCCGTCTGTCCTTCTCTTCCTTTTTGTTGTTTGTGAACTACAACTTCCAGAATTCAAAAACAGTTCCCAACCCCACCAGTATTCCATGTTGGCCATGTAGGTAGTGTGCCAAGTTTGGTGCAGATCCATTGTGGGCTGGGTTCAGAGTGCTCTTTGATTATAGGTGAATCCCAGTAACTACAACTCCCAAATGCCAAACTCTATTCTCCCCAAACTCCACCAGTATTTACATTCAGGTATACTGAGTATGCGTACCAAGTTTGGTCCAGATCCATCATAGCCCAAGTCCACAGTCCTCTCTGGATGTAGGTGAACTACAACTCCAAAACTCATGGTCAATGCCTACAAAACCTTTCCAGTGTTTGCTGTTGGTCATTGGAGTTCTGTGTGCCATATCTGGTTCAACTCCATTGTTGTTGGAGTTCGGAATGCTCTTTGATTGAAAGTGAAGTATAAATCCCAGCAACTACAACTCCCAAATGACAAAATCAATTCCCCAACCCCACCAGTATTCAAATTTGGCAGTGAAGATTATTGCCACCTGGAAACTGATGTCCTCAATGCGGGAGAACATGTGGGTCAAGACTAGGGCTCCACAGCCATCTGCAGACCCACCGCCAAGACACCACATCTGGAAGACCCTCATCCTCGAGCTACGAGGGATCGTCTAGTAAGTATGTAAATTTGGGCGTATCGGGTATTTGTGCCACATTTGGTCCAGTGAATGAAAACACATCCTGCATATCAGATATTTACACTACGATTCACAACAGCAGCGGAATTAAAGTTGTGAAGTAGTCGTGAAGGAGTAGCGTAAATCATTGTGTGGTTGGGTGTCAGCACAACACGAAGAACTGTATGAAGGGGTTGTGACATTAGAAAGGTTGAGAAACAGTGTGCTCAATGCTGAGGGGCACAAAGAGTGCTGGGCTGCTTACCTCCCACAATGGGTTCCAGATCTCCTTCCTGAGCATCCCAAATCAGAGGCCGGCTGCCATCAAATTCCCAGTCTGTTCCCAAAGGAATCCTGCAGCCAACCAAGACCCGGCCTCCCCACCTGACTAATTCAAACTCACATTCAGGCTTGTTGGAAGGTTCACAAAATGAGTTTCTGCTTTATAAATAGTTGTCCTCTGCCATGCATTGCTGTGGCCCATAGAATCATAGAATCAAAGAGTTGGAAGAGACTTCATGGGCCATCCAGTCCAACCCCATTCTGCCAAGAAGCAGGAATATTGCATTCAAATCACCCCTGACAAATGGCCATCCAGCCTCTGCTTAAAAGCTTCCAAAGAAGGAGCCTCCACCACACTCTGGGGCAGAGAGTTCCACTGCTGAACGGCTCTCACAGTCAGGAAGTTCTTCCTCATGTTCAGATGGAATCTCCTTTCTTGTAGTTTGAAGCCATTGTTCCGCGTCCTAGTCTCCAGAAGCAGAAAACAAGCTTGCTCCCTCCTCCCTGTGGCTTCCTCTCACATATTTATACATGGCTATCATATCTCCTCTCAGCCTTCTCTTCTTCAGGCTAAACATGCCCAGTTCCCTAAGCCGCTGCTCATAGGGCTTGTTCTCCAGACCCTTGATCATTTGAGTTACCCTCCTCTGGACACATTCCAGCTTGTCAATATCTCTCTTGAATTGTGGTGCCCAGAATTGGACACAATATTCCAGGTGTGGTCTAACCAAAGCGGAATAGAGCATGGGGAGCATGACTTCCCTAGATCTAGACACTAGGCTCCTATTGATGCAGGCCAAAATCCCATTGGCTTTTTTTGCCGCCACATCACATTGTTGGCTCATGTTTAACTTGTTGTCCACGAGGACTCCAAGATCTTTTTCACACGTACTGCTCTCGAGCCAGGCATCGTCCCCCATTCTGTATCTTTGCATTTCATTTTTTCTGCCAAAGTGGAGTATCTTGCATTTGTCACTGTTGAACTTCATTTTGTTAGTTTTGGCCCATCTCTCTAATCTGTCAAGATCGTTTTGAATTCTGCTCCTGTCCTCTGGAGTATTGGCTACCCCTCCCAATTTGGTGTCGTCTGCAAACTTGATGATCATGCCTTCTAGCCCTTCATCTAAGTCATTAATAAAGATGTTAAGGTGGGATTTTATTCAGCTGTGTGGAAAGGGCCTTAGATAGGGTGTGTTGGAACCCAGATGCCTTAAAGAGCCAGACACAAGAGTATATTCAAAACAATAGTTTATTAAAGCAAAGTAAACAGGACTCAGAGACACTTGCTTTAGTGCAGGGGTCCTCAAACGTTTTGAACAGGGGGCCAGTTCACTGTCTCTCAGACTGTTGGAGGGCCAGACTACAGTTTACATGGGAATATGGTTAAACATTTATTTTATACTAGCTTGGGGACCCGGTGCTGCCCGGGATATTTGAGAAAGTGGGTAATGGTGGTTCTGTATGCCAAGTTTGGTCTTTCTTGGTCATTGGATGACGGTTGCATGGTTTTCAGGATGTGAGTGACGGTACTGGAAGTCCCATCATCCATCGTCCGCCCTCCTCCAAACAGCAGCAGGATATAGAGTGGGTCATGGGGGCTCTGTGTGCTAAGTTTGGTCTTGATCAGTCATTGGCTTAGAGTCACAGTGGTTTCAGTAAGTGAGTGAAGATACTGCAAGTCCCATCATCCATGATCCACCCTCCTCCAAACTGAAACAGGATGTAGATAGGGTCATGGGGGCTCTGTGTGCCAAGTTTGGTCTTGATTGGACATTAGATGAGGGTTGCAGCAGTCTTGGGGAGTGGAGGTACTTGAAGTCCCATCATGCATGGTCTGTCCTCCTCGAAAGTGCACCAGGATGTAGAGTGGGTCATGGGGACTGTGTGTGCCAAGTTTGGTCTTGGTCAGTTATTGGCGAGGGTCTCAGTGGTCTCAGGAAGTGAGTAAAGTGACTTCAAGTGCCATCATCCATTGCCAAATTCTTCCAAGCCGCACCAGGATGTAGAGTGGGTCATGCGGGCTCTGTGTGTGAATTGTGGTCTTGATCCATCATTGGAAGGCGGTAACTGAACATAGGAACGGCACAATGGCTATGAGAATGGATCTAACTTTAACGGAGGCGTTATATATGTTGTTTGTTGATTTGTCTGTCTGATGTTAATTGTTGTGGAGCGACGTTGTCGTCCCGGTTGTTGTATTGCTGTGTTTTAATTACACTGTAAACCGCATTGAGTCGCCTGCCAAGGGCTGAAATATGCGGTATAAAAGTGAAGCAAATAAATAAATAAATAAACGTGTGGTGGCAACACAACTCCAGGGGTTTCTGATAGACACTGATTATCTAGATCCGGCACAGTCTGGCTTCAGGCCGGGACATGGAACTGAGACAGCCTTGGTCGCCTTGGTAGATGATCTATGCAGGGAACTGGCAGGGGGAGTGTGTCCCTGTTAGTTCTGCTGGACCTCTCGGCTTTCGATACCTTCTATCACGGTATCCTTCTGGGGCGCCTCATGGACATGGGGCTCAGAGGCACTGCTCTGCGGTGGCTTCGATCCTTCCTTGAGGGACGGACCCAGAAGGTGTCATTGGGTGACACCTGTTCGGCTCCGCAACCGTTGTTGTGTGGAGTCCCACAGGGTTCAATTCTGTCCCCGATGTTATTTAACATCTACATGAAGCCGCTGGGAGAGATCATTCGGAGGTTCGGACTAAGATGTTACCTCTACGCAGATGACATCCAAATCTGTCACTCCTTCTCACCTGTCACCAAGGAGGCTATCCAGACCTTGAACCGGTGTTTAGCTGCTGTATCGGACTGGATGAGAGCTAACAAATTGAAATTGAATCCAGACAAGACAGAGGTCCTACTGGTCAGTCGCAAGGCCGAACAGGGTATAGGGTTACAGCCTGTGTTAGACGGGGTTACACTCCCCCTGAAGACACAGGTTCGCAGCTTGGGAGTGATCCTGGACTCATCGCTGAGCCTGGAACCCCAGGTCTCAGCGGTGGCCAGAGCTTTCGCACAATTAAAACTTGTGCGCCAGCTGCGCCCGTACCTTGGGAAGTCGGATCTGGCCACGGTGGTCCACGCTCTTGTCACATCCCGGCTGGACTACTGCAACGCACTCTACGTGGGGTTGCCTTTGAAGACTGCTCGGAAACTTCAACTAGTCCAGCGAGAAGCAGCCAGATTGCTCACCGGAGCGGCGTACAGGGAGCATACCACCCCATGTTGCGCCAGCTCCACTGGCTGCCGATCCAATTCCGAGCACAATTCAAAGTGCTGGTTTTGACCTACAAAACCCTATACGGTTCCGGCCCAGTGTATTTGTCCGAACGGATCTCCCTCTACATCCCACCTCGAAGCTTAAGATCTTCTGGGGAGGCTCTGCTCTCGACCCCGCCACTCTCACAAGTGAG